TTGTAACTACTTGAAATTCTTTTCAAACTAAGGTTTGGAAATGTAAAATTACTTGTTGAAACATTTTTCTTGTCGCTCTCTTTTTTTCTGAACTTACACACACACATTTCCTCTCACATATATGACTCTTTAATATTGTCTGAAAAGTTGCTGGTGTGTGTGTGTGTGTTTGCACATGTACACCTTGTCACACTAGTGGGTGTCAGAGGACAACTTGCATGAGTCCTGAAGATTAAACTCGGGTCATCAGGCTTGGCAGGAAGTGCCCTTACCTACAGAGTCATTTCTTCAGTTCCAGACTTCCTGACTCTTGGGGAAACACTGCAGTGGGATGCTGAGTTCCATTAGACAGTCTGTTACAGAGAGTGGTTCAGGTCCTTAGCATCCACATAAATCATTTACCCACAATGACTGTAAGGACATGATACCGTTATTTTATGGCCGTCATGGGGCACCTATACAAAGTAAGACTGACAGTGCTCCAGCATATGTGTCTAGTAAAATGAGACAGGTGTTTTTTGCATATTACAATATAAAGCATATTACAGGTGTACCACACAATCACACAGGACAAGCAGTCATAGAAAGATCTAATCACACTTTAAAAGATATGCTTAATAAGCTGGGGGGTGGTGGCACATGCCTTTAATTCCAGTACTCGGGAGGTAGAGCGTGGTGATATAGTGTGTACCCTAATAAAGCTTGCCTGAGGGTCAGAGGACAGAGCCAGCCACTAGATTAGACAGAGAGGCCAGGCAGTGGTGGCACACACCCTTAATCCTAGCACTCAGGAGGCAGAGATCCATCCGGATCTCTGTGAGTTCAAGGCCACATTGGAAATAGAGCCAGGCAGTGGTGGCACACACCTTTAGTCCCAGTACTGGGAAACACACACGCCTTTAATCCCAGGAAGTAACGGCAGGGTAAAGAAAGGTATAAAAGATGCGAGGAAACAGGAACTAAGGCAGTTCAGCTGAGACCCTTTTGGGTGAGGACTTAGAGGCTTTTAGTCTGAGGATTCGTGGAAACGGGTGAGGTGAGGATGGCTGTGGCTTGCTTTGCTTCTCTGGTCTTTCAGCTTTCATCCTGACATTTGTCTCTGTTTTTTTTTTTTTTTGTTTTTTTTTTAATTAAAAGACCATCTAAGATTCAAACAACAGTAGAGTCAGACAGATCTCCATGAGTTTGAGGCCAGCCTCATCTATAGAGTGAGTTCCAGGACAGGCTCCAAAGCTACACAGAGAAACTCTGTCTCAAACAAACAAACAAACAAACAAACAAACAAACAAACAAACAAACAAAAGATATGTTTAATAAACAGAAAAGGGTAATAAAGACCCCCAGAGATAGATTACACAATGCTTTATTAACTTAAAAATTTTAAAATGCTAATGAGAAAGGAATGACAGCTGTGGAGAGACATTGGATAGTAGAAAAAAAAAAAAACACTGAATTAAATCAGCCTGTGTACTTTACGGATGTGTTGACCTCAGGATGGAAACCAGGATATGTGTTACATTGGGGAAGAGGTTTTGCTTTTGTTTCCACAGGAGAAGAAAAGCTATGGATACCATCAAAATTGATAAAGATTAGATTCAAACAGGAGAGACCTCTTGATTAGGAGAGGCCGTAGTTCATTAAGCAGCATAGCCATTCAATCTTAACTAACTTATAAGACTAGCAAATGCCTTTCATTGGATCAGATATAACCTGCCAAAAAGGGAAACTCCCCAAAGTTAAGGTTGGGGCAGGGTTTTGTTTTTGTCTTTCTAGGAGAATAAAAGCATCCAACTAAGGAATCTGAAGACCACTGAGCAAATGAGACATGTGAAGAAGAAGGGAGAATCATCTAGAGAAAATGTCCCAAGAAAAAGAGTAAATTGGCTTAATGGTATAGCACACTTCCAACAGGATAAAATCTCATAAATCTTCCCAAATGCTTGTCTCTACTGTTCTCTACAGACATATAAGGTAAATGTTCTTTTTGTAGTCCCAATTCAACTATAAAGTAAAGCTGGCTTTGGAGTTGGAACATGGCTCTCTCCTTTTCTAAACCCAAGCAAGCTTGTTGTTAAAAGGAAAACCCAAAATCTCTGTCTCATGTCAGAAGAGCCACCTGGTATAGGACAGATGAAAAACCAAAATTAAGGGACTATTTTATTGTCACTAATCTGCATGGTGAGACCCTATTGCTGAAAGTGCGGTTACATTAAAAAAAAAATCAGTCTCAGACTTCTCCTTGTGGCCATCTTTCACAGTGCCAGAAGGTGCCACGTAGGCTACTGAGGGAGACAAGACATCACTGGTATTATCCAGTGCTTGACCTTGCATACCACAATACAGGCCCACCAGGCAAGATATGCCTAGTGGCACACAGCTGTTATGGAGTAACAACCAATTTCTGATTGGGTTGAGGCCTGTTCCACAGGGACTTTCATGCCTTAGAGTGTACGTAACCTTGGTCAAAAATCCGTGAGCGGGAGGCCACAGGCTCTGGGATAGAACCTGTTCTTGTTATTTTCCTAAACAGTCGTGTCAAATTGTCTTCCAAATATTTATATCATATCATCATTGCTGATCTTAACTGTAGCCAGAGAAGATTCTTTTTGCAGGGGCATCCGTCAGTGCAGAGCTTCATAGTTAGTCAAAGTGTTGAGAAAAAAAGAGGCCGAAGGCGCATCCTTAAATAGGACATCTTTATCAACCCTGCCATGACTCAGGGGCCATCTTGGAGGAGGAGATGGGCAGGATGGAAGGGCTGCAAGTGGGGAGGAGTGCTGTGAAACCCGTCTTCCAGACACGATGTGGCTGTCAGACTCTTGAGCTCACAGAAGCTATGGTTCCCCACACAACATCAAGCCAGCCAGATTCCCAGCACAGACGGGGAGGTGCTCCGCAGGCCCCACACCTTACCACAGGGCTAGTGGCAGTCAGCTGGGTGTTGGACCTCCTACCCTGCCGTGGAATCAATCAGATGAGTGAAGACCCCGCTGGGAGTATGAATTAATTTCTTTGGGTGCTCAAGCCCCGAATCGAGTCACGAAGGGGACACTCACAACATCAAGTTCTCAGGCTACCCCCGAGTTTGTGATCTTGCCGCCACTGCCCTTTCAGTGTTGGGATGACAGATCAGAAAGTTACCAGTTTGCTAAGCCTGTCATGACAAAGTGCGGCCGATCGAGGGCCTCAAATGGGAGCCAGTTCTGAAGGCCACAAGTCAAGGTCAGAGTGGTCTCATTTCAATGCTTCTTGCCATGGCTTGCGGACGGTGGCCTTCCTGTTGTGTTCTCATACGGCCCTCCCTTCCGCGTGTGCATAGCCATGTTATCTCTTTAGATATAACACTTTCTCTTCTATAAGGGCTCCTGTTGGAATAGATTAGACTAGTCCTAACTGGCCCCATTTTAACCTCTTTAGACCTCCCCACATAGGTTATAGTCTGAAGCATGAGTTTTAGGAGTTTAACTTTGGAATTTTAGAGGGACATGATTCCATAAAAGGAAATAATTGTGGGCTAAGGAAAAGATGAGTGAGACTAAATTTACATACTTTGGATAAAACTGCTCGAATTTATCATCTAATCATAGCAATAACATTTTCTGTCTCAATGAATTGCTCTATGGTAACACATACAGAGTCGTTGCCACTGATTCTCATTCGCAGTCATAAAACTCATACCGGAGGTGTTGATGTGCTCATCCACACATCCTGAGATGAGGGGGATAATGTGAGAGCGAAGGCTGAAACCAAGCTTAAGTGTCTTGTCCTACTTTGCCTTCTATTGCTATGAGAAACACCGTGACCACAAGCAGTACGGTGAGGAAAGGGTTAATTTCATCTTACAAATCCGGATCCTAGTCGGTTAGGAGGTTAGGAGGGAAGGCAGGAAAGGAACTCAAAGCAGGAACCTGGAGGCAGGAACTGAAGCAGAGACCACGGAGGACCGCTGCTTACTGGCTCGCTCCCCGTGGCTCATTCAGCTTGCTTTTTTAGACAGTCTGGACCACCTGCCAAGGGTGGCACCACCAGTGGACTGGGCCCTTCCACACCAACCACTCAGAAGATGCCACACAGACTTGCCTACAGGCCAGTTTGATGACAGCAATTCCTCAATTGCCATTCCCCTTTTCCAGATGACTCTAGTATGTGTCAATTTGACGAATAAGTAAATAAATAAATAGCTAGAAAGCTGTTACACATTTTCGTTATATTTTGTTGGAAACAAGTGGATTCTCTTGGCTATGTTTTATGACTCCTGTCTTCCAGATCACAGCCACCTTTTTAACAATACTATAGCCAGATCTAGTACCTCCCAGCCCAGAAAGCCTAGTGATTGGATGGTCTAAATATCAACTTGTGGAAACAGAAGTATCTGTAATATTCGTCGCCTCAGTCTTAGAGGTCGTGTGGAGAAGGGTTATGTCTTTGACAAGGTCAGAATTCACAGAACGTGAAAAGGTGACAAGGAGACAGGACCGAGGGAGAAGTCCAGAGACTTGGGTTCCTGCCGGCTTCCACCTTTGTACACCATCTTAATTTCCTAGGGTTGCCATAGCAGCACAAATGGTGTTAAACAAGACATTTGTTCTCTTCCTGTTTCAGAGCCTACAGGCTGGAGAAGGTGCTGGCAGAATCAGGTTTCTCCAATGGCTCCTGCAAGGGACCCTCCTTCCCTACCTCCTTCAGTTTCTGGTGGCTCCACACATCCCTTCTGGCTTCCCAGTGACATTTGCAACACCATCTACACATGTCACCTCCCTCTGCCTCCTTCCTATAAGGACACTCTGGCTTTTTAACTTAGGGTCCACATAAATCCTGACTGGTGACCACTGTCATACCTGGAAAAAAGACAACTTTTCAACTAAGGCTGTGATTGACATTTCAGGGCTTAGTAGATAGAAATAGTAGCTTTTTTTTTTTTTTTTTTTTTTTTTTTTTTTTTTTTTTTTTTTTTTTTTTTTTTTTTTTTTTTTTTTTTTTTTTTTTTTTTTTTTAAATTAGAGTCTCACTATGTAGCTCTGATTGTTCTGGTACTTGCTATGTAGATCAGGCTGGCCTCAAACACACAGATGTCTGTCTGTTCTTGCCCTCTAAGTGCTGGTATCAAAGGCCTGTACTACCATGCCTGCTAGAAGTCTTTTTTATTAAAACATTTTTAGTTTATGTGTATGTGTGTGTTTGGGTGAATATTTACCACATGCATGCAAATCCCTGCAGAGGCCAGAAGAGGGTGACAGAGCTCCTGGAACTGGATGTACAAGCGGTTGTGACACACCCTTTGTGGATGTTGAAAATCAAACCCAGGCCCATGCAATTAAAACTCGAATTCTCTGGAAGAGCAGGGAGGCTCTGGTCTAGCCAGCCCAATGATGAGAAGTGTCTTTTAAGGGGTCATCATTTAGTCTTCTATAAGCTCATCAAATAGCATCCTTCTCTGGGCCTCAGGTTCCTTATCTGTAAAAGAATAGTGTTGGACTGGATGAATCCTGAAGAGTCCACAACTCTTATTCTTTGGTTCATTTTATCAAGGTTACAGAAATAATGCTACTTTAAACAAAGTAACTTATGGGAGACAGCTGACCCCTGTGAAGTTCCTGGTGGCTAGCGCCATAACACAAAGAGGTCTCAGCACTCTCCACCTTTACACTGCAGTGGGGCTGGATACTTAGGAAGTGAAATTGACTGTCACTTAAAAGGCATCTTATTTCTGCTTCAACAGCTCACAACTCCATGCTCCCAAGGAAATATGGATCTCTGATTGCCCAACAGAGGCTTTTGCAAATCTCTGTCTCTTGTACATATTGCCAGTCATCTTACTAACTTTAACTTGCTGGGTCCTAGAAGGCCATAGTGCAGTTTTGTTTTGTTTTTTGAGACAGGATCTCTCTATGTAGTCCTGGCTTGTCTCAGAACTCATTATGTAGACCAGGCTGTCCTCGAACTCACAGAGATCCTCCTGCCTCTCCTCTGGAATGCTGGGATTAAAGGCATACTCTATCACACCAGGCTCGTAGTGCAGACTTCATGAATGCTGAAAGGGAAATTTTTTGGAATACTTGGTTTACACATAAACAACCTTTCTAAATTTTTCAGGTATAGATGAAAGCTCTTTTAGCAGGGGAAATACTAGCACTTTTCAATGGGCTGCAAAGAAAAAGTTACTGAGCATGTGCTGAGTAATGTAGGACCTGCTTTCCCAGAAGTCTCCAAGTCCACAAAAGCTCAGGCTGTAGACATGTCTTGTACTTCTACACAACATAGTAGAGGTGGACATTTCTAACAGCCCAACATTTTAATGAGGAAGAAGGTTAAGATGAGACCATACAGATAATAAATAATGTAACAGTTTAAAAAGTACCTTTATGCTACCAGTAGGCTCTTTATGGCCTCCCCTCCCAGGGAGTTGGTTGTGTATCAATCTGAAAGTGTCTTTGTGGTGTCTGGCTCTATGGCCACCCCAAAGCATGGGATTGGGAAGTGCCCAGTTGCCAGTCAACCGAAGTTAGCAGCCCTTGCCCCTGGACTTTCTCAGTTCCCTTACTCCTGGCTGCCTGCCCAGCCAATTCTACTGGGCTTCTTCACCCTGCAACCTCATACCCCCTCCTAATCCTGTCCCCACTGCACACATCTAACTTAACCTGGTAGCTCTGCACACCCTAGGACATCCCTCCTTAATTTGAAAGGTAATCACCATCTAATTCCATCCTTCATGTGATATAACTGCTTATTAACCTTTGCTATGGTTTATGCTCTGCTAGCACCAAGTACTTTATTGTTTCCTATCTTTTGGGAGACCTGGAGAAATATGCCTAGTCAGCAAATTGTTTTGCTGATTTCAGATTTGTAGTGTGCTCACAGAGACCAACCCCGGTCCCCAAGGCTTTTGAATAGTCTTTCCCCTAATTAAATATACCTCTTTATCCATTTCACAGGGAACCAGCTAAACTGATGATGTTGAAGAATATTAAAACATCCTCTGACCTCGAGGTCACAGTCATTTCAACAGTGATTCCTCAAGTCAACATTGTGGACTTGAGGCTGAATGAAGTGAGGCTGAAATGAAGACATGTTTTCCGGTATTGCCAGGCCCCATGGTTTTTAAGTTTTTAAGTTTTTAACTCCACCTGGAGTTTTAAAGTTCTTTTGACCTATAGAATCTACTTCTTCCAAGATTGGCAAAACCACAACCCGGTAAGGGGAAAGTCCCCCGTAGGTCCTGGTTCCCAGTGGTGGTACTGTTTGGAGAGGTGTAGGCGTGCTTCCTTGCTGGAGGAAGAACATGAGGAAGAACATCACTGGGATTTGGAGAGTTAAAAGCCTGCTCTCCTTTAGTTTGCCATCTCTGCTTCATGCTTGCTGTTGAGGATGCGAGCTCTCAGCTTCCTGCCTTCCCACCCGGCCTGCTTCATGCTGCTGTGCCCTGCTGCCGCGATGGACTCTTATCTCTCTTGAACAGTAAGCTCAAACAAACTCTTCTGTAAGTCGTCCCGATCACGGTGTTTTATCACAGCCACAGGAAAGTAAAAGATACTTAATGCAGGGCTCGGCAAGATGATTCTGTGGGTGAGAATGGTGACCTGAGTTAAATGCCTGGAACCCGTGTAAAGGTAGAGAGAGAACGGACCAAGTGCACAAAGTTGGCCTCTGACCTCCATGTGTCCCCATGCACCACACACACACACACACACACACACACACACACACACACACACACACACACAGAAAGAATAAATAACAGGAGCTCTTCTGATATCTTTGAACCTATGGAAGTCTGCTGAGAACAGAACTTCCACAAGTCACATGTGTCTAGAGGGCTGTGATACAAGGCCATTTTTGTTGGTGCTGAGCAGGGATCTTCAGAACTAAAAAGACTATTGCTTAAACCGAAAGTGCTTTTACCCCAGATGAAACCAATTTTGCACAGGCCGGATATGTGTACAAAGCAGAAAAAAACAAAACGAAACATAGTGATCCGGAGTGGCAAACCAAACAGAGGCGGAGTAACTTGGGAGTTAAAAAAAATAAAAAAGGAACTTGGGCCAGTGGAAACAGTGGCGTGCTTCCTTTCGTGACAAATTCCAAAGGAACCTCCTGGGCCAGGTCATTAGACACAGAATGTGTATGATGCTGTGATGCTGTACCCCTCATGAGTTTATGCTCTTGTCTTTTATTTATGATATATATATTTTTTTATTTAAAGGGGAGGACATCAGTGAAGTTCCCCATTATCACATATTATGTGGTAGTGGGGAAATCTAGGGGTCAGCTCATCCCAAGTGCAATGGATGGGCTTCACCTCGGGAAGGTCACCTTCTCCATCACAGTCTCTCCACTGTCCAGTAAGTGTGCTCTTCTCTTTTAGTTAGTTAGTTTATTTTTATTTATTATTATTATTATTTTCGAGACAGGGTTTCTCTGTGTAGCTTTGTGCCTTTCCTGGATCTCGCTTTGTAGACCAGGCTGGCCTCAAACTCACAAAAATCTGCCTGCCTCTGCCTCCTGAGTGCTGGGATTAAAGGCGTGCGCCACCACTGCCCGGTTAGTTAGTTTATTTTTAAGGAGGCAGGACCTCAGTCTCACCAGGACCACAACCATACAGGGTAGCCTGAAACTCACTTGGCTGGTGCCGAACTTGCCGGAGACCATCCTTCCTTGACCTGCCAAGTTGCTAGGACTTCATGCATGCACCACTGTGCCCGGCCGGCTCTTGTCTTTTAAAATCTTGGTTTGAGTATGTCTATTTATCTGAGCTTCTGAATATAATTTTAAAAATAATTAACTTGTTTATTTATTCATGGTCCTGGGTGTCCAACCCAGGACCTCAGGCATGCTAGCCAAGTGCTCTACCCCTGAGCTGCCCTAGGAGACCAGCATAGGTCTTAATATGAGGAGGCAGGTATCTGACTCTGCTCTGGCTATCACAGCAAAACACCACAGATTTGGTAGCTGCTTCTTTAGTTCATTTGTTTACTTATTCAAAACTATCTCTTTGCTTTTATGGGCAAATGAATCATGTTATTCAGAGTCCTGAAGGTGGGGAAGGGTTGAGGAGGTCAAGAGGGGCTGACGTCCTCGGCAGGGCAGCTCTTGCTTCACTCATTGGCATAAACAACAGGTATTTGCTTTTTCATGATTTCTTGAGGTCAAGGTCCCCCCAGGTGATTCCGTTTTTGCTGACCAGCTCTGTTCCTGACTTGCAGACTATCACATATCTCACACATCATCCTGTCCTTATATAACTAAGAGTGAGCAAGCTGTCTGGTGTATCTTCTCAAGAAGGCACTAATCTTATCAGTTAGGGTCCCACCCTTATGACTTAATTTAACTGTAATTTGAGAGAAACACAAAGCAGGGATGGCTTGATACAGACCATTTGCTGTGTGGCTTAGAAAGATAGGGACATATTCTGCAGTATCTCAGTTGGCATACTGGTGTCCTACCACCCCAGTAGGAGGAAAAGTTTATACATCAGGGAAAGGAGCTGTGAGGGCACCCAGGACCCAGAGTGATGCAGTATTTAGAGTTAACTTTCTTCTCCATTCTTCTGTCTAGGGCCTATATAGGACTGAGATCTTTTGTCACGTGAAGTCCCTGTACTCAATAGTTCTGTCCAACACCTTGTGGCCCACAGGCAGCTCACAGGCAGCTGTTATGGGGTACCAAAGAGAAAAACTCCCGAGAGGCCCGGATAAATCAAACGGAGTCTTCTTGAACTGCCATTGGGACTGTCCCAAGCAGATTAGCGGGAAGCAGTCTCCACTTCCAGTTGGTGTTTTCAAGGGCAAGCCCCTCAATTGTGAAATATCCAGAAGGGCATCTCCGAACATCTGCTGCAAAGAGTTGTTTAGGGAAGTGGAAATGGAGAGAGAGTGAGAGAGAACAGTTAAAGAATCAGGCGGTTAACCTTAAGCTCAGGGTCACACTGTGTAGGAATTTGTGGCTGTTCTAAATTTGTGACCAGAGACCAGTTTTCCCCAAGATAGTTTTAGCATTTAAAGTATTCTTAGGAATGCTTTGATGAGACGGCTTAGCTGTAGCTCAAGAGCCCAATACATCGCCTTCCAGTCCACCTGCAAATTTCGACTAAAGGTGTGATTTTACAGTCTCGACAAGGATTCACTGGCTTCCAAAATTCTTCCAGTCTACAAAATTAAGGAGCCAGACATTGATGGAGGTGTTAGAGAAATAACCTTGAGGGATATAGACTGCCTCCCTCTAACAACAGGGGACAGAAGTCACAGAGGTACTTTCTGATTTGGGGGTTCCAGCAAGGGCACTGATCTATTTCTGGCGGATAGTTTTAGTCAAGCCAGAGAGGGCTGGAGGTGTAGATGAGCATGAGAGCACTTGCACAGGGCTCCTGGGGTCCTAGGCAACTCTCCCCAGCATTGCATAACACAAACGAAACTCACCATGATCAAACGAGAGAGAGGAAGTCCGAGGCTGGACAAATGGACAAAGTGAGGGAGGACTCACTCCCAAGACTCTTCTGGCTTCCTGTTTAGTATATAAGCTGCCTCGGCCATGGCTCCTCTCCACTCTTACACATTCACTCTTTCAGAAACAGTGATTTTCTGTTGGGACATTGGACATGGGGTAAGGTAGGGGTATGAGCGTTAAAAGGCCATGGCAGGGCATTCCATTCTGCCTTTCTCCCAGACAGCACTCTGGTCTTTGGTAGGGTCAACAAGATGTTACCATGGAAAGTTCTAGAGAACCCAGCCTATGGGCTGAATCATGAGTGGTGTTTGCAGATTTTAGAGCTGGCTGCTCTCGACTCCCTCCCCACTATCACAGACATCTCCATTGTTTCATGGGAGTATCAGCTAGGCTTGTCTTGATTGCAAGGATGTTTGAGGAAGGCTTTTCATGAACTGGGACAACATGGTTACAGACAAGAGTGTCTCTGTAATCAGTGTCCTCTACACTTGTGAAATACAGAGGGCATGTTTGTAACCTGTTTGTTTGGAGCTTGTGACTCAGGGCCAATCTCAGCTTTCTGGACCTGTATGGAGGAGGCCACTCAATAGCAGCTGGGCACATGGTTTCATCTCCCAAAGCTCCATTTTTGTTGATATGGATTTGAAAAATTAGAGACTGTTACTTTGGGGAAATTCAGCAAGACAACACATGAATGATGACATTTTGGCCTTTGCAAAGTTCTCTTGAACCTAGTTAGTGTTTTGACCCAGAGCTGAATCTGGGCTGGTCCCACAGAGCATGGGACCCCAAGCTCAGGTCAGGGCTTCCGGCAGTCAGCACTCAGCTTGCCAGGCCACGGAGTATTTTTCATTAGTGTGACTCTTCACAGTGCTACTAATGCTGTCCAGCATATCCTTCTTACATTCTGTAGTGTTCTGAAAATTAATAATAACAATAACAGCAACAACAATAATTAGGGACTATGTTATGCTGCTGAAAAAAATTTAAAGTAAGGGAAGTTAGAAGGTTAATTTATAAAATGTGGTATTTGACTTTATAATTAGCAAGGAATAAAATGATTTTTTAAAGTATGAAATTTATAATTATGAGGCAAAGCCTGAATAAATTCAAAAGATAAAGGCCAATAAATTTGTCTCAACTAAATTAAAATTTCCCACTAATACTTCATATATTATACAACGTCTTGAATACAACAGACATATAATACGTGCGTGTGAACAGCCATTTGTCTTAGGAAATGTGCAGTGGCGGCCTGGTGAGTCTTATTAGTCAGAGACAAGGCCTCTTTGGAAAAGGAACTGAACCCTAGGCTCGTCCCTTGGGAGAAGCAGCCCCCCAGAGTGCCTCTGTAGGGCTGCTGCAGGCACAGCCCTTGCTTCCTTTGAGGTTTTAGCAAAAAATTTGCTGCCTCCAATTTGTGTTTTGAAAGGCAGTCTTAATGTTATATCTTAATTCTTACATCAAATGCCTGGAAAGGCATTTATACTTTCAAAGGATAAAACTATGACAAGTCAGTTTAAGGAGCTTAATTGGATGCTCTTAATTCCACCAGGCAAGAATAAGACCACTAACACAATTTTTGAGCCAAATTTGAAGCAAGCTTTATTAAATACAGACAATAGCCGGGTCCATACCTGTGATTCCCAGAGTATGACACCAGTTACATCAGTCAGGGGCTTATAAAGACAAACCCCACAAGGCTACATACTTCCTGCCTTCCTCTAAGTGGGGGCAAGCATACATCCTGACATACTTCCTGCGGAAGTACCCCGCCTAGGTGTAATCAAGCACATCCTGTGTAGCTGGGCAACCAAGCTTGTTTACGGAAGTGAAAACACATGGGATGGTTGTTATCTTACATGAGCAACAGCCCCCAGCATTCCAGGAAATTATCTGTCCTTGGGCCAGTAGGGCTGACAGGTTAGAGGAATTTCTGCTTTATAGATCTTTTAAATACAGTCATTTAAACTTAAAACATAACTTTAGCCACCACAATACATTTTTTGTTTCTTTGTCTTGTTTTTTGAGACAAAGTTTCTCTGTGTAGTTTTGGTGCCTGTCCTGGAACTCACTCTGTAGACCAGGCTGGCCTCTGAACTCACAGAGATCCGCCTGGCTCTGCCTCTCGAGTGCTGGGATTAAAGTTGTGAGCCACTACCCCCCAATTTTTAACTATATACTATAAGCTTACAAACTTTAAGGTACAAAAAGTTTATATAATAGTCTTACAAATCTTGATGTAAGTTTATACTTTAGCAAAAGTTTTAGAGCGTTAAATAAAACCAAGGGAAGGAGGGTGAGATAAGCAGCGGTAACTCCTGTTGGGACAGTCTAGTTTTCAGCTCGTTTAGAGCACCTAGTGTCTTTCCTTGGGCTGTCCTGTTTTGCCCTCCCACTCTCTGTGTCCTAGACTCAAATGGCCAAGGCCTAGGACAGAGATTTTGGAAGAAACTTTTAAACAAGCATGCTTTGGTCCGGAGAAGGGGACCATAACCCAACTCCAAGGCCAGGTTTTCAGTAAAGTAGAACAGCATAAAACAATACTTCAATATTATCCATACCCGAAAGACACTTGGATCTGGGCAAAACCAAATCCAGTCAGCAGAGAGGAACCAGATCAATCAAACAGAAAGCAAAGAGAGCTCAGAGATAACAATCTGTGAGACCCATGAGGCTCAGACAGCAGGCCCCAGCTAGCCAGTGACAGGGACAGACAGAGCAAGCTCCAGGAGCAGGTGTGGAGGCAGCCAGGAGCAGTCTGCCTCACTGAAATCCGCCCCCAAAAACGACACAGCCTGCAGCCCAGAGGGGTCTTAGCCGTGCTCCATCCAGCTCCTATGCCTGGTCTGCAACAAAACTTAGGAGCACATCAGAAAACACAGATCCACCAAACAAAAGCAAACAGCATTTAAAAAAAGGCAGATCGTCCACACAACCAGGGGAAACCAAACAAACAGACACATGGTGGCCACTTTCATTCATAGGCCACATTAGCAGGCAGAAGGACTTCTCCTTTGTCATGGAGACTGGGTCTGTGACCCTGTTCATCTCATGTCTCTCCTCCAAATGCCCAGACTCCAAAACAGAACAACAACAACAACAAAAAACTCACCCTCACCAATCAGGTCTGAGTTGCAGATGCTGCTGGCTAGCAATTCTTCTTTTTGTTCTGTTTTCAATTTGTAAATGTGTGGTACTTAAGTCTACCACAGTAGACAGTCTGGGCTCCCTAGGGCCTCTCAAGTCCATCTTGGACTTGCTTCTGCTTGGGGTAATCCCTGACTGCTGACCATTAATTTGTGGTAGCCATAACCTTGGAGTCCCAGGGGCCTATCAAGCCCATCTTAGACTTGCTCCCACTTGGGACCTCTCCCAGGCCCATCCCCCACCCTCACCCCCCATCCTCCCACTCCCCCATCCCAAACC